TATCGAGATCGGTTCTCCCATATTACTCCCATATATAACTTCGTCCGATTTACTTTTTATGGTGCACCAAACGTCTAATATTTGCCCAAATGTTATGAAATTTGGCACTTACGACCGAATTGAGTCTAGAAGCTAGTATGTCAAATTTGGTAAAGATCGGTTCAGATATAGCTATAGCTCCCATATATACTGTTCATCCGATTTGTTATATTTGTTACCCACAGTCGTAATATGCACTCCGTAACAACGATATTCAGGGAAATATATCAAATACAGCTCAGAAATATCTTAGCCAAATTTTATCGAGATCGGTTCCGATTTGGATTAGTTGTGCACCAAATGGGCAATACAAGTCCGAATTTAAAAGATACAAATTATTCGGCATATTTAGTCCTTTTAACTCTAAATTATAATTATAATCATAGCGTGTATGATTGAATTCTCCCACAAAAACTTTTAATTGTTATGCGGAGCTCTACTAAATTAGCAAAGTGGTGTAGGGTATCATAAAGTCGGCCCTGCCTGACTTCAAGACTTTCTTTACTGGTTAGAAATGAAATTGATGTTCTGATAACATTTCATTTGTACTTTCAGAAACGTAGATATATTTAGAAATATTTACCACATAGTGGTAGGGGTATTGTGTCTTTGTGCATTTGTTTGTAACATGGAAAAGGAAGCGAGATAGATTCATAGTTACTTTTTGAGGATCTTCATAGAATCACTTTCTGTGCCGATTTATGCATGTCAATCCGCTGTCAATCGATCTATGTATTCTTGTGAAAAAAAATGCAGGTCGCATTTATTTATTTGTTTGGCCCAAGGACGAATCCTATTGAAATTGGTGAGAATCGGTTCAAATTTAGGTATAGCTCCCGTAAATATCTTCAACCAATTTCCAAATGACCTGAAGTTTGGCACATCCGATCGAATTCAGTCTAGAAGCAAATACATCAAATTAGAGAAGATCGCTTCAGATATAGCTTCTATATACATATATGTTTCATCCGATATGGTGTTTAAGTCCCTCATATTCGTAATATGCATTCCACAAGAATGATCTATGGTACCAGATATCAGATACAGCCTAGAAATACCTCAGTCAAATTGTATCAAGATCGGTTCAGATTTGGATATAGCTACCATATGTATCTTCAACCGATTTCGGGTTAATTGTGTACTGCCAATATCATCCAAATGACACATCCGGCATATCTGACCGAATTCAGTCTAGAAGCAAGTACATCAAATTTAGTAAAAATCGGTTCAGATATTGCTTTAGCTCCCATATATATGTTTCATCCGATTTGGTCTTTAAGTGCCTCACATTCGTAATATACATTCGACAACACTGATATTTGGTACCAAATATCTTATAGAGCTCGAAAATACCTTTGTCAAATTTTATCGACATCTGCTAAACCTGAAATCGAATTCAGGATATAGCTCCCATATATATCCTGAATTCGATTTCAGGTTTATTGTGCAAATAATGGCTAATATTAGCCCAAATGGATTGAATTTCGTGACGTACGTTTCCATTTGTTGGAACTCCGCTCCGATGTATATTTTTTAATATAATCCTTCTCGAAGTGATATCATGCACTCTATAAAAATATTATAAAAGATAAAAATGTCTCCGTCAAATTTAGTGAAAATCAATTCAGAATTGAATATGCCTCCCATACATTAGTTCCCTCTGAAACCAAATTACAACTGCTCTAAAGCCAAATGTTGACAGGTGGTATGATCTACTTTAAATACATTTTTGTTACGGGAGCTCTACTAAATAAGCATGGTGGTGTAGGGTATCATATAGACGGCCCGCCCGACTTTTCACTTTTCCTTACTGGTTGTAATTTGTCAATGAAAATAAAATACTTCCAATTTCATTAGATATTAAGGAATTACAAACATTATTTTCAAATTTCAATTGAAATATTTCGAATTTAATTGTAGTTCGTAAAATTCCATTTAAAATTCTGGTCACTCCATATTCAATTGGAATTATTATATCCTATGCAGAAAAAAATTATTTGTCTAGAATTCACAAATTATCAAATTAAAATTAATTGGGAATAAAAAATCTAAATCTAAATAGAGAACGATTTGCAAATGAAATAATTTGAATTTAAAATAGAATAAAACGAATTACATCTGAATAGAGTATAGAGGATTTGCACAAGTGTTCTGGAGTGTACATATTCATTCGAAACTGAATAGAGACGTCACTTCAAACTGTCAAAACAGCTGCAAGACAACAGAGTGATTCATATTCAAATAAAAAACACGGCCCACGATATTTAGTTTGGAAAGCAAGTAATTGTTTCGAACATCAACCTACCACGTATTAAAAACCTTCTCGAAGTAGGCCTGTCAAAGATGCTTTTGTAATAGCCAATTGGTGTTTTGATTAGTTCTTCGATTAGTAGGTCGAACGACAAAGCGTCATCTCGAGGTAATTTCGTCTGTTTTATTCTCTATGATATTACTATTACCAGGAAGTCAAAAAACAAACAAACAACACAATTTAAAAAGTATCATTCTGCGAATTATCACTCTTATGAAATACGATCTGAGAGCCCTTTAGCCAGGATGGCAGAACTCGTCATAGAAATTTATAATACAGTAACTGAGAGAGAAAAAATCAGAATATATTTTGGCTACAGAGGGTATATATCGTTTATTACGGCCTATCTAATCGAATTAAAGACTCTCTTTGGATCAAATACATGTCAAGGCATTTCGAGTCGATTGAGGGCTGTCAGTCGGGCTGTATGGATGGTTGGCTTGTTGGTGCGCACGACAACTCTTCAAGGGAGTATTTGATTTAATCCGAACTTGGTACATCGTAATATTATTGTCAAACTTAGATAGAGTTCGGAAATGGGCAATATCGGTCTATTCCTTTTTGTACCTCCCCCACAAAAAATATTTTACTGCACAGAAAGAGAAAGGATAATCCGAATTTGCTGTAACTTTGCAAATCCTAATATTTGCATCAGTGCTAGGTCAGGTGCGACAATAGGCAATATTGATCCACTCCATCAAGTACCTCTCTCAAAAAATTTCAACATTTTGAATAATCATAACCTTTATAAGGTGTGTCCGATTATCTTCAACATCGCCCACCTCAATATTTCTACCAAAGCAAGGTCTCTTATGAAGAAAGTATGGAACGGACCAATACTTCTGGTACATCCTCGATAACAAGTCATAAGTTTTAATAACTATGAAGATTATAAAACGCAAAATAAGTACCCGATGCCTTTCAAACTGGACACATCCTAATATTTCTATCAACACAAGACCTGTTGTGAAGATGATTGATATCGGCACACTTCTTCTGCTACCTCCCTGACAAAGGGTCAAAATTTTGAATAATTTGAATAAAATACCAAATAAGCAACAGCTTCTCTTTAATTTCACATATCTCAATATTTTTACTAACGCAAGATCTGGTGTGGCCAATATCTATCGGCTCGCCCCTTTGCTGTACCGTCCCCTTCCCCCCACACGTAGGGTCACAATTTTCAATATTTATTTTTCTCACATATGCAAATATTTTGACTAAGAATAAAATTGGAAATAAATGTTTGATGTTCTTTAATTTTCTCTAAATCCCAATGTTTTTATTATTATTCGATGAAGTGCATATGTCTAAAACCTCATACAAATGTTACAATTTTTACAAAATTATCACATATCTCATATAAAGTGGGGGAAGTAGTCAATATAGTCCAAATCTAGGACGTTGTAATATTTATATCAGACTCAGGTGTGATACAAAATGACTTAGGTCTAATACGAAATGGACAAGTCAAGCAAGTCAAAATATATATCTAAATAAAGGAACATTGCCTAAGGATATACATCTGTCGGCAAAACTCATAATGCAACTTGCTGTTTTTTTTTTTTTTCATTTTACTAGGCGTGCACAACTCATCCCAATTCATAACATATCAATAATTACATTTTTACTGAAATTAGCGAAAAACATATTTTTTTGATGAAAATTAAAAGGCACAAATCCAGCACAACTTTCGAAAAAATGCAATACCAGCAAAAATTCCAAGAATCTACTATATTTGCATTTTTTTCGATATCATAAAAGTAAAATCGGATATTGTAGTAAAATGTTTTACATTCGGGCAGTTCTGGAACAGACATATATATTGTTTTCGAAAATGGTAACAGCAAACCAAATACAAATCTGCACAATTTTGATTTTTTCGAATTTCATAAACTGCCCTTCCAACGGACACCATGTGATTTTATTTCTAAAATTGATTTCCTTCAGACGTTTCAAATTCAACGCTTTTTATTTCTCAATTGTGTGTCAACACTTTTAAACGTCTTTTTAAGTCAGAGAAGTAAGAAATTAAATTCGCACTTAGTCACTTCGCTCTTTGCACTCTCATTGAAACTTCTCTTAGTGTGCTCTTGTATCTACAAGATAGATTCTACAAACAAATGAATGTTGTATCTTGCGACAGATCTTTTGGTATCTTATTTTCTCTTCTCCAGCAACAAAACAACGAAGTAGGCAATCATTCATGAGAAGAGCAGGTAGTTGCGTTCGCAGCTATTGAGTTTGCATGACCGAACTGCTTGCTTACGAGCTCGTTGGCTGGCTGACTGTTTCATTTTACAGGTGATGTTGGTGGGAATTTTTTAACTTGTTTCAGTTTTGTTTTGAAACGGTACGAATGCATGTTCGCGTCGGCTACGTTGCGGTGCGCGCTTAAAAATATCATATCCAAACGTCTGTTTGTTGGGGTGTCGAAGATGAATTAAAATATATATGGTAAAATTGTCGATTACGTTCTGTCGTCCTAACCACCCGCTTGCCAACGATTCCGAAACGTTGCATTTGAATACAAATAAGTTTTGAAGATTCGTCACTAAAGATGACGATATTCCAGGAATACGCAAAATAACCTTCTTCCTTAATTGCCGGAGCATTTCATTACCTGTGTGTGTGTAAGTGAGTGAGTGTGTGTGTGTTTGCGCCAATATTTGTTAGGCGCATTTGAATGAATTACGTTACATTCTAATGAAAAAACAATTATAATAGAAAAGTCATATAAATAAATAAAACAAATAGTTGTTTATTTTGTCGAATTACGTGCATTTTGTGTGTGTCTGTGTAATCAATCAGAATCGATAAAAATAGAAAATTGGAAGCTAAATAAAAATAAAAAGAGGGAGAAAAAAATCAAAGCAATTAAGTTGTAGTTAAATATTGTGTTTGGTGGTAATTAAATAAAATTTGTTGGCGTCTCTCCTCGTCCGGGGATTTTCAAAGGGATTTTTATCTACGTACCTACGTCACAATTGGATTTTGTATAATTGGTGAGTTGAAAAGAAGGCGGAAGACAAAATTTTGAGGCAGTTAGTAAGGATCAATGATCTTTAAATTTATTTATCTCAAATCTAATAAAAATTATAAAAAAATCTTATTTTCTGATAGTCAAATGTCGGAAACAGATTGATGGTGTATGGGGTCATTTAAGCGAATACTTCCAAAATTTTTAGCTCTTCGGTTTTACCGACTGTATTATACCCCCAGCCTTGAGTTATGTGTATTCAAACTTTCGAGCCTTCCAAAGCAGTTGGCCAAAAATATTGACCAATTCGTATCTGGCCTAAAACTGGTTTAAATTTTAAAACGTGCCAGTGTTGGACTATATCGACTACTTCCTATACTTTGTATGAGATATATGCAATTTTCTTTAAAAATGTGGAAATATGCGTGAGGTAAGAAATATAGCGGATCGAAGTATTCCATTTTCATACTTCATCTAATACAGATAAAAATATTGGACGAGCAATATTTGAAGGAAATCGAACATTTATATCCATTTTTATGCCAAATCATAAATTCCGATAAATTACATGTTCATATCAGATTTCTGGTTAAGAGAAATAATTAGATATAGAAAGTTGTAAAGAATCGCCGTCTTGTTTCGCAATTGAAAATTGTGACCCTTGGTGGGTGAGGTACCAGAAGGGATTAGCAGTTATATACAACCTTCACAACAGATCCTGTGTTAGCAAAAATGCTTGGATGTGTGAAATTTGAAGAGATTTGGTGCTTATTTCGCTTTCTTTTTTCTTCAAACTTGAACCCTATGTGGGGAGGTACCAGAAGAAAATGTTGATGGAAATATTGAGATGTACTGTACCTTTGTTGAGTGGACCGAAGGAGAAGGAGTGGACCGATACATTCCATCTTCACAGTAGATATTGTGTAAGTTGTAATAATGGGATGTGTGAAATATGACAGCCGGATGCTTATTTCGGATTTTATAATCGTTTTAGCTATTCAAAACTTGACCCTTTGTGGTGGAGGTACCAGAAGAAATCGTTCGATCTCTACCATCTTTATTACAGATCTTGTATTGACAGAAGTATTGAGATGTGCCAAGTCTGAAGCGAATCAGATGTTAATTTCGTGTTTTATGAGTTTCATGAATATTCAAAATTTGAGGTACTTGATAGAGTGGACCGATATATTCCATTTTCACACCAGACCTTGGGTTAAAAAAAAAAATGTGTAATTTGAAGATAATCGGACACTTACATTATATTTTATAGGGGTTAAAATTATTATAAATTTTGACCCTTTGATGATGATGACTAATATTGTCCATTTTCGCACCTGACCTAGTACTGATGCAAATATTAGGATTGGCAAAGTTGGAGAAAATCGGATTATCCTTTCTCTTTCTGTGTTGGATTAAATCGGATAGAGTTATTGTGCGCACCAGTCAGGCAGATAGACAGACAGACAAACATCGCTAGATCGACCCCAAATGTTGTTGGTCTAAAGAGACCTTGGGTCTAAAACCGTTATTATGATGAGTCACGTTATGCCCGTATCAAATGATATATACCCTCTGTATCCTTTTGGCTGAGGGTATAAAAATTAAAGATTAAAAACAGACGCAAGTTAGAACCGGACATTTGGTTTTGTAAAAAAAAGTTTTGTGAAATTCAGTGGGTGGAGGATATATTAATAACTGTTCGTAATGATTAAAAATCGATATAAATTATTGAATAATTCTCCGAAAGATTGTCGATATTTTCAAATCAAATTTTCTTCTCACGGCAACTAAAATTTAAAATTACGGCCAATGCGGATGGAAAATGCTGCTGTATCGAAATATTCATATCCATGTGATATTGCTTACAGGAACATTGATACAGGATCCCGGAATTTATTCTAATTTGTAGGACTTCTATAACTATCTCTATCTCTTTACCCAATACCAAATGTAATTCCATTCAGTACGTTTCGAACAATTATAGAATACGTTTCCGTAATCACCTCCATATCTCCATCCCAGATATCAACAGAGACCTCAATATTAAATTTCGGGATTGCAGCTCTATCCTTTCACCCAATACCAAATATAGTACCATTCCGTACTTTTCGTACAATTATAATACAAATACATGAACTACAAATGAACAGCGACCCTAATTTCAGATTAGAGATTTCAAGCACTATCTTTTCACCCAATACCAAATTGTACCAAATATGGTACTATTTAGTACTTACCGTGAACTCGTAGTATACATTTCAAAAAACACCTCTTTATCCCCAATACAATATTTCAACGCTTCAGCTACTTCTGTTCAACTGTTGCAAATTCAGTACCATTTAGTACAGTTCTTAAACAATTCCAAGTTGTATCAAATTTAGTACCATTTAATATACATGAGCACAAATTTCCAAAGCTTCCTACACACCCCAATCCTACACTCCCATAGTTATTCCAATTTCAAATTTTATGATTCCACCCCTGCTGGTTCGTCCAAATACAAATTGTACTTCATTTCGTACATTTTAGCACATATAAGTACAAATTTCCAAAACTACCTACATATCCCGATCCTACATTCCGACAGTAATCTTATTTCCAATTTTTAGGATATCAACTCTATTGGTTCACCCAAATCCAAATTTAGTACCGTTTAGTACTTTTCGTACATATACATGAGTACACACTTTCAAGGCTACCTAACATCGACTCTACTAATCAAACTTGATTCCTACTCAATATTTCAAGTAATTAGCTCTAACCGTTCACATGATACCAAATGGTACCAAATTTAGTACATTTTAGTACTTTTCGTACACTTATAGTGTGAATTTCTAAAAAAAAACTTTGGTAAATCTATCATTAACTCCCTCAGTGCCTTCATTTCAAATTTAAGAGTTCTGGCTCCACTGCTTCCTCAAGTGCCATATTTAGCACATTTTAAAAGTTTTCGCACGGTTCTAGGACGAATTTCCAAAAACCCTGCCTTATCTAAACTCTTCGGACCAAGAGTGACCCTCACCAAAAAATGTAAAGATTCTAGCCTCAGCCGTTTCGTCTGGGCGTTGATGAATCGTTAAGTCAGTCAGTCATTCAATCAGCCCGTCCGTCTATTGTAATCACGCTACATTTAAAATAAATTAGGATAGGAAGCTTACATTTGCACAAATCGGTATTTTGTCTGTAGGCAGGTCAAGTAAAAAAATATAACGGAACCCACCGATATTCGGTATTTTTATGGTTTTAGTCACATTTTTCAATGGAATTGTCTGAAAATCCAAACCAGGAATTCCTTCTGAGTACTTTACCCCTGGTAGAGAATTACCTATATACGTTCACGATATCGTACAGCCTCCATAGAACGATACCCCCCGATATTCGATATTCGGTATTTTTAAGATTTAACAGAACTATTAACGGATTTTATTGTTTTTGAGAATTACCAAAATCGTTCCAAATGGTGGAGGATATTTAAAGTTTGGCCCGACCGAACTTACAGCTTTTTGTACTTTTTATACATATTCTTGGAACCACAGCTGGTAGAAATGGTGTAACCAATATTCCGTAGGGCTTAATGTGTATCTGTATTGTTTAGAAATTGGAAAATATTATGAATTTGCATGTTTCTAATAAAAGGGCCTATTCTCTTGCCACCCCACACTGTAATCCGAATTATGTATGGATGAGTCATTAAAGATCGTTATCAAACAGCAAAGGTAAGACCCTGGGGATCGCTGTGGATTTCAGGTCCGATGACTTTGGCAAAGTGTGAATTTGCATAATAATAGCAATGCCGCTACTCTACGACCAGTTGTTCGTTTTCTACTTTTTATGAGAAATAGTCAAAAGAAATGTGATTAGAAAGACGAGAGAAGACGGCGAGGAAGATGATGAATAATGACAGAGATAAGATCCGTTTAAGCAAACAATCGAGCGAAAATGAAGCTATGCATTGTCATTTTTATTAAGCGTCAAGTGAATAGCAAAAAATTAAACTTCTAGAGGTTGAATGGCATGGAATGTATGATTATCGTGCTGTATTAATTGAGGCAAGAGATTGGGAGAGAGAAAGAGGAGTTTGGGGGGAAATTCAATTACACAAATTCATGGGAGCACAACAAAAAAGGGGTGAGATCACAAAGCAAAAGGGTCTGGGGGCATTTTTCATTGTTCTAAGTTAACAAAAAATTCTAAATTTTTTAACTTATGATTCTAAACAAAATTAACCTCACTTATATTTTGCAGCAAAAATAATTTGGGGTCAAAGAAAACTGTTATCGCGTTTTGTCTCCCAACCAAGAGCCGAGGCATTAATTTCAATTAATCAAACCCAATAAAAAGGAATTGGCACGCCAATTTCTTAGTCTCACTGTGCCGTCTTCGAAAAGAATAAAACTGTCTACAGTTTTCGTTGGCGTTTCGTTTCACTTTTGACATCTCAATTAAAAGTTACCGGGTCAAGTTTAAACGCGAGAATTATTATGGTGAGAAAAAAAATATGCAATAGTATTTGTCTTTGGCAAGCAAACGCTCGCCTGTCACGCTAGGCCAAATTGAGAAGTGCAATCAGAAAAACCGAAATAAAATGGAAATGAAAATAACCGTAAGGCGACGGAAACGTCACATTCGCCATCGGTCATAAATAAAACATTAATTTTATAAAAAAAACATTTGAATCGATCAATGCTAATAATTTAGAAAATTATATAATAGCTAATAACAATCATAATAATATAATAGTGTGAAATTAAGTAGCCATAATAATACCGATGATTGAAACTAGTTCAGGGTTTTATAGTTCCGCAAAGAATATGAGGGAAGTTGGGTGTTATTCTAAAATTATACACATAAATTAACCTCAAATAGAGCCGTAGAAGGACACTAAGAGAATAATTTTTAACCATCGTGTTATAAAGAATGCAAACTGACTCCAGTGTGCTTTGTTGCAGGTCCCCGAAGGAGTTTCGGGAGTTTCTTTGGCATAAAAACTTAAAATAATGTGGAAATACTACCACCACTATCTGT